AAAAAAAAAACTCTCTTTTTCTTCTCAACTAATTCCTGTAAGACATTCTTCGCTGTACATTCCTATATATAACCGTCTAAATCAGTCAGCCTCGCGTGCCCAAAGCAGGCATTCTACAATTTCGATATTAATAACTGACCCTCTGAGAACCGTGTCAAAGAAATTACAAACTAATCAGTCGTATGTTCTAGAGCATTTGTTATTTTGAAAAAGAAGGCTGCGGAGACCTATTTGACACTTATTTATTATATATGCCCTTTTCTCTTCATTCAACGGTACGACAAAATTGATCTCTTCTGGCGTAGGTGGTTCGCTTTGTATGTCAGGTACTGTTTCTTGACTTAGAAGTGATTAGTGTCAATCTTGAAACACTCCATTTATATCAACTATATTTGTCATTCGTCTTCCATCAGTTTAATCATGGTCGAAACAAGCGAAGGAGTTATTTGTCTGCATGGAACGTGTTTTGTAATCGGTTTCGATTACGTGAGCTAAATATATCTGCCTTGAATCAATCAAGCAGGACTGAAATAAGAAACAGGAGATTTAATTGCACGTTAATCAAAAAGCTCTACAAAACTGCAATGAGTGTCTACTTAACGCCGGTTGGTACAAAATGGACAATGATAAACTCATATTGGCCTTGATAATATAAGATAATAATTGATAATATAAGATAATAATTGATAATATAAGAGCGAATCCGTTGATAAAGTGTTTACTGGATCTAACTTGTTGCTTTGAAGCACGTAACTGATTTCGGTACGTTCTGATTTGTTCATTATTGGCTTTGATAATGCAGAATAAACATAGTCATGATATGACATCATGCTGATGCATCAAAAATAAATAAATACATAAGCGGGGGCGATTTTTCCAAGACGAATTGATAGCACGACAGCAGCTGTTTGGGATGAACATTGTAATATTGATACAGACGGATCTTCCTCACCTGAACAGCCATCAATGCCGTTTTAACACCTATCGAATAACAACAACGTGTACCACAATCTGGTATCAGGGAATATTCTTGAAAGGCTTACTGCCGACGACATCGGTTAAGAGGTTATAAAATGTCTTAATTTGTTTAAGGGGACATCGCCATTATGAGCTTATACCTCAAAAACAAATATATGTAGACTAATATTTTTAAAAGCCCAAACGTAGGCACAAGGTTGTATTTTTTACCCTTGTCGTCGACCACGATTTAGATAATTTTCATGATAATATATTATACTAAGTTTCAGAGTTACGTCGGAAACAGGTCCTTATCAACATTGACAATTTTAATTAAAACGCTCGGCCATTCTCTGTGCAGATCGAAGTATGTGTGGAGGTGAATAAAGCAAAAGAAAAGGTCATTTGTGCTTTAAATGTGTTTACTTTTATTGCACTAATACTGAGATTAGAAACGGAGACAGCCATTTTTACCAAATGTAGGCCTTTAACACGTGTCGAACCTCCTTCAAGAACCAATCAAACCAGCCCATTCCACCAAGATAACTGCCGATCGATATATTACCAACGTTTTAACCAATTGTAAGCAGATTTCAAGAAACTACTTAAATGTATTTGTGTAAATACATGTGTGTTTTTAAGCCCATCTTGACTGTTTGGTTAATAATAATGTGAAAAAAGGGAGAAGTTGCCTTGTTTTACATTTTGCTCTTCTGAGTCCAATACACAGTAGATGGTAGGGAATACCTTTTGCGTTACCCGTGATTGGCCTTATTTTTCGAGCGTGATGCGTTATTTGAGCCCAATATTCTGCGTGAAACGTGATTCAGGAATTCTTGTTGATTGGTGATTGGTCTGAATATATTTTGGTGATTGGTGATTGGCCTGAATATATCTTGGTGATTGGTGATTGGTGATTGAGCTGATTTAATCTTTGGGGGGGGGGGGGGGCATTCCCTAGATAGGACATCTGTCTGTATAACAACACGGAATATCATGGAGCGGTAGAGACAGTTTCAGATAACGCAGTTAAGGGTGTCGGGGTTTAGACTATTCCAGTCCGTGCATATAACAAATTTACATGTTGTCAAAGAAGGCAATTTAGCATTCTACCTAAAACAAATACCATCAGCAACAGATAAAGACAGGAGCAAAGACGATCCATGAATCATTACACGAAAAGAGCTCAGTAATAAGGGACTCACCATTCCTTTCTGTATTCTACTTCAATAATTAGGAGTGCCGTCAAAAGGGAACACGGCTGATTTCTTACTGTAAAATGAACACATCCCCAGTTGCAAGTGTGTCAGAAATCTGATTGATGTTGATGCGATAAGAAAAGGTCAAAGAGAAGGTCATCGACACCTCTCCTGTTCAATTAGAAAGATTCCTAACTGAATTACATTCTCTCTTGTGCAATTGAAATACAGTATATTGCCATTGAACATAAACAAGTTGGGAATTGAGAGCCGTGTTGGCTTACGAATAAAACCACATCAAATAATATGGAAATTTCATAAGTTTACAGTCTATAAAAGATCATTTATGTCATCCTGCCAGAGTTCTGCAACTACCATGAGACGGGGCAAACGCTCACTTGGTCTGGAATCCCCAGGATCTGTGTCACGGCTAAGGGGTCTTTCCAAATGGAACTGTCGGTCTACGTAGTTTGATCCAACTACGTTGGGACGCTCGATTACTTCAGATTAAGAGATGCCTCCTCCTTGAGATGGTTTAAGTACAGAAAAGCTGGTGATTGTACGAGAACGTTGGAAACAAGAGGAGACTTGTTTTAGATTCAAATCATTTAATTTGATTGCATTTAGCGATAGCCCCGCGGAGTTGGATCGTTCTACGTAGACGGTTAGTTTCATTGGGAATGAGCCTAGGGGGGAATACCGTAGGCCCTTTTAACTGGATAAGGCCACCTGGAGCTTTTGCAAGCCTGGCTACAGCGTTGCCGACAAACAGCGCGCTACGTGGAATTGGTTGTCTGATGCTGTAACCTTTGGTGGGCTGTTTTTGCATAGCATGTACACTGTATATGCACTGTGCTTTGTGTTTTATTTTATTTATTTATTTATTTATTTATTTATTTATTTATTTATTTATTTGTATTTTATTTGTAAACAATTGTCTACGTTTTTGGTAGATTAAATTCACTTCCAATTACTCTAAGAAAACGTCTACAAGTTCCGATAATTTGCTCGATTTAATTAATATGGCTTCATATCCATAAGTATTATGCTTCATCCTTGATAAATGCGAACAATTCGTTTAAGGTATCGTAGCTACAAATCTCTGCATATGGTGCCTGTATACAAGTAAAGAGATGGATGAAGAGCTTGACCCGTTTACTTTTCAATACCGATAAAATATAGAGAGTGATCTTAAACGGCGACCGGCTTAATCTTTCTGCAATGCACCTAACCAGTCTTAACAATTAAGTACTAAAGAATCGAGATTGGGCTACTTGCTGCGGTAATGAGCGACGTCAATCACTGAGTGAAGAAAATAATAACCATTTCATCCCAGACCGTACCGTCATCAGCATTTATTTAACAACAAAATGGTGTTCTGGAAATTAGATTTAGCCGCAAGCGTGGGCAACATGCAGACCGAACAGACAAGCATCGGCTGCGGGAATTAATTGTTCTGATTACCAAACAAAATAGGAAACCTAATTTAAGAGTCGTAATTAAATCATGGCCATTTTTATCTTACATTGACGTGCTTACACCGACGCTTCGTCACACGTGTATTTATATACCGAACTAATGAACAATTAAACGTATCGTAAACTCACAGCATTCGTTTCTGAAAAAGATTTTCCCTGACATTATGTAACTGTGCACTACTTAAACTGAGGCTGCTCAGTATATGAAACGGTATTAAAAAACATACTGTTGTAATAGGCATTGGAAAAACCTATAGACGTGGCCCTATCCCTTCGCACCTGTTGTTATGTATCATTCATTTATTTGGTGCGATTAATTTACTGCGGTCGGCAGGTCACGTTGCTCTATGTAACTGTTTATTAATCCTCCAACGCGTCCAAAAATTCATGTATGATAGACTAAGTTAATTGCTGTTGTCCCAATGTGTCGCTGCAAATTGATAATCGAATGAAACAATATAACTCACGCAAAAGCCACTTTTCAGCAACAGAATGCAAGAATATTCTTACTGCGTGTGCTTTGGAAATGTTGCTCAAAGTCGAGGTTCTCGTATTGCGTGTTCTAAATAACTGTGTGTGTGTGTGTGTGAGACAGAGAGAGAGAGAGAGAGATACGCAGTAGGAGGCGATACCATGCCTTTGAAACAATTGAACAGCATATCGATTAGGTGGGCGGGTGACGACGTTTTACCACCTTCTTCACGCCAACTTAGCACCATAAACGATTATTGCTCATTAACTGACCAAAAAGCAACTCAAACCCAATATTGTCAAACGGCCTCCACTGGCACGCTGTATTAGCAGTAAATTGAGATTGAATCTGATTACCCATGCGGCAGACCTCAAGAAGTTATTGTAATGAGCGGTTAATATGATACCTCGGAGACGCCAGGGACGCCGTAGAGATAAGAAACCCGGAGCTCTGGCTCTAGGGCGACAAGGGACTTTCCGTGCGGTATATAACAGAGAGGCGTGTCTGTGGGGAGGGGGGGGGTCATCTTCAATCTTAGAGAGCATTCAGAGCAGCTTACTAACAGATACGCGGATCAAATATGGCGACCCACTAAAACGCTTGCCGTCTAATCCGTTAACTGAATAGATGAATAGATTGTATTCAAGTGGGTCGGCCATATTTGACCCTCGGACTAGTTAGTCCACTGTTCTGATTGCGACCTGAGAGCGCTTCAGAGCAGCTTACTAACAGATCCGCGGATCAAATATGGCGACCCACTAAAACGCTTGCTGCTTAATTCCCGATTAGACACTGAATAGATTCCCCGCGGGGATTATGCAACAAGCATTCGAGGGGGTCGGCCATATTTGATCCGCGGATCTGTTATGCTGAATGAGCTCTGAGTGAAGCTATCCATCTGTATTCCTGCGAGGTATAGACACAGCCGGGGGCCGCTATATGAGCCTAAACCATGGCCAGTGAGGTGTGTGATTTGCGGTTGTCACCGCGGCGGTTGCAATTACAGCATACTACCGGTAATTATTAGGAAGCTGAGAACAGGTTACTTCCAGGGAAATTCTGATTTTAAATGACTTAGAATTTCCTTCATTTCCAGGAACTCGTTGCTTTCAGTAACCTTTTCAGTTAGTTTGTACTTTAAAGATCCATCGTTCATATAATATGACACAATCGGTCTTAATCAAATAAAAGAAAGTTGCTAAATACTGAATAAAACAAGAGATTTTTTAAGTATACATGCCGCAATTTAGAGTAATTGCTTGAGCGCTTAAAGCAGTTAACGGAAGCACCGTGTGTGTTTGTGTTTAACAGTGTGTGTGTGTGTGTGTGTTGGTTTAAAGACCATTAATAGGAGGTGCACTCAAAATATTATGTGGACGCAAAAACCACAGTGTTTTGGATTTCGGGTGTTGAGATCTTGAATTTTAGTGTGCATCGGATAAGGCTCACTTCATGTCTCTGAAACTGAGGAATTCACTACAATAAAGAGGGACACGTAGGTCCATTCCCCTCCCTTGTGAAGGGTTGGGTTAAAATTGAAGCTGTGTTCTTGACTTGAATACTTTATAGCAATTAAGATTTGAAAACACTCAAGGAGGCAATGCATTCAACTTGCCCATGTCTGGCCGAGGGCTGTTTAACTAATGTTGTCATGGTAACCAATGCTAGCTGTCATCCATGATTTAGATAATAGGTTTCTCTTGGACGGTTCCTTCCTTACGTACGGATAATAAACCCATACCAAGTTAATCAATATTTCAAGTTGTATACCATCCATGTTCAGGGCAGGGCGTATGTGTGGGAGGGTGGTGGGAAGAAACGAGCATTATTGGGTGCTTGATTAGTCAGGTCAGGATAGGGCAGCATCAGGGCGGTCACCGTTCATTTTCTAATTACTTTTCCTTTTCTTCTAAAAATCCAGATTTCTTGCTAATCCAGCTGTGCCCTAGACTTACCATTTTGCCTCGGGTCGCTGTGGGTTGTACACGTGCCTTGTACCGGATACGTGCCAGCCGGGAACGCTTCCTATTCCAACCGCCTCCTGCAACCTACTTTTTTGTTTTCGCCTGGCCTGGTCGGATGACAAAGTATTTCTATTCCAGTTTCTTTTTTTATTTTATTTTTTTGTTTCTCCTGAAGTCTTTTTCTCAGCAGCTCTCACAGAATCTTGGTCGTCAGCGCCTTGGAACTCTTGTTGGGTTTTTAATCCGTTTTACTTGAATCCTTTCCTAAATACCAATCTGTTTTTGATGAATAACTTCTAAGTTTTTATTGTTTTTGTATTTTTTCTTTTTCTAATCCTTTCCCTGCCAATCTGTTTCGCATATAACTCGCTTGGTATTATTCCACTGAAATAACTTGCGTTATCTTAAGCCGTTTCTCCAGATGATGGTATTAAGTAGAACGACCTCTCATTACAAACACAAGGTAGCCAGTATCATAACTAAACCTCCCTGAAATCTTGTAAGGTATTTGCTGGCTTTTAGCGCCAGGTGCTCTGACATAGCTTTGCCACAAACAGCGGGACGGATAGATATATATATATTCATATACAAAAAGTACTTAACACATGTTCTTTGCATCGGTTACCATAGACATTCTCTGTAATAAATACCTAGCGTTTGATGAAAGATACCATTGCTTGTCTGTTTCTGGGATACCTCAGAAAAAAAGGTCTGCGGTGAAATGCCGGCTGAGAAAGTAAATATACCTTGTAACGAAAAGATCAAGACGATAGAGCGGAGAGAAGGTGCTTCATGTGAGTTATTTGGTTACCTTTGGCCCAAATCATTTATGATAAACCCAACTTAATTCCTTGCCTCCATAAATCAAGGGATGCCGGGGTGAAGATATGTATATATTTGCATTAAATCCATGTACCTGTTTAAGGAAGGGGGGGGTACGTGTACCCAAATAGGACTAAAAAAATCACGTTTTTATAGATTAAATCAACAGTAAGTCTTCAAAGAAAAATCCCCGAACCCCTTTGTTGAACTTTGTTCAAGTGTTATAATACCATTAAAAGCATGTTTATAGCTGTCCAGGTGCCTGAGAAACTCAATTCAGGAAACCAAAAATGATTTTTGCCCCAAATATCCCACAATTACGTCACTTGATGAACTTGGAGCTGTGTTTCAAGCATAATTAGATGTTTTGAAGATACCTTAAATGAATGCAACAGGAATTAAAAAAGCCAAGACCTTTAATTTAGGATAAGATCTCCAACCTGCAGTCCGACCTTAAAAGATCGAAGCATCCACCTGTGAGCTATTAACACGGTGCTATATCAGGTACATATGTAGACTGTACTTAGAGATCACAGCCAGGTGGTGTTTGAACGGATTAGGCACATTAAATATAGTAACAGAAACACAAGTAGGCCTCGTGTTCTGTGTAACCCCTGCGTTAATATTTTTAATTGGAGTTCCATTTTCCTCTTTTCAAATTGCAAATTTCAACAATTTGAGAAATAAATGAGACTTGAAACACAAAAATATCTGTTTGGTTTTATAAAAATAATATTTTTTTAAAAATATGGCTCAGTGCACATGTCATTGGAATCCACGGGCCCAGGCTTCCTAGATAAAGACGCGAGTAATAAGTGGGGAGGGGGGAGCGAAAGACTGCCACAGCTTTTGCTGATAATATTTTGCGCCCCCCCCCCCCACCCCCCCTAACACACACCCGTCCCCACTCGTGCATAAGAACGTGATTCTATATGGATATGTTCAATGTTCATGTGGAATACAGACAAGATTGACGTACGGCTAGATACTACACATGCCCATACACCGGGGAGATTGGTTAACTTGGCATGGCTTAGAATAATTAAATTCCCGCAAATTATGCGATTCTGCAGGCCTTAAATTGTGCTTGATTGGAGAAATTGGATTTTGGTTTCTATGTGCAGTGGTTCTCTTACGTCAATCCTGTATGTATGATGTGCGTGTGTGTGTGTGTGTGTGTGTGCGTGCGTGTGCCTGTGTATGTGTATGTGTGAGTTGAGTGCACGCATGCATATGTGTGTGTCTGTGCGTGTGTGAATAAGAAGACCTCACGATCAAAAAAAAGATCAAACTCTTCACATATCTAGCCATATCTTTTTTTTTTCATTTTGGCATACTGTCAAATTAAATTCCACCATTAATATGTGTGTCTATGCATTAAGGTCCCCACCACTGTTGTTAAATTGTGGTAAAGCGTTACAGGCACATTTCCTTTCATTCCGTGACATAAAATTCGGTTTCTCATATTGGCACAGGTGATCATGAAATGTCATTAAAGCCCCGGAATAAGTTGTGGTCACAAATTTTAATAAGTTCATATAGATCTGTCATTTTCTGCACGACAGTGTATTATTTCCACTCCATGTCTACGCCTCAGGAAATGCGTTCGTCATAATCAACCAGTGCACAAACTGCCAAATTTTCTCTCTCCCATCTATAGTGGTTTCAGTTTGTAACAGTTAGGGTTTTTTCTTGTCAGTCAAATCAGAATGAAAATATATGTGCAACTTGGCAACAATGTAGTTTTTAACCGAGTCTTGGTTAGTTTTGGCACAGTTAAGATGATTCCAAGTTTATCTGTTATGCCACGCATGCCTTCAGTACTCTATCGAAGTCAGATAATCTTGCCAGGAATTCGACAGCTTTTCTCATTTTAACCATTTCTCGAACTAGTTTTAACATTATAGTTGATTCTATGTTTATCTGTTATGCCACGTATGCCTTTAGTACTCTATCGGAGTCAGATAATCTTGCCAGTTTTAACATTTTAGTTGAGTCTGTGTTTATCTGTTATGCCACGTATGCCTTTAGTGCTCTATCTGAGTCAAATAATCTTGCCAGGAATTCGATAGATATTTCATTTGACATATTTTAGTTGTTTCTATGTTTGAGAGACCATTCCCAGAAAATAGGTAGTAACTTTGAATCGATCTATCTCCACGGGGATTCTCACTATGTGTCGAGCGCCCACTGAAGCTGTTAGGGGGTAGTTAACTTAAAACTATCGTTTAGCAGTTTCAGTAGGCGTGCCACACATATGAGCCGTTTACCCTTAAAGCAATTTAGCGAGAAACCCCTTGGAGATCCAGTTAGATCGATCTAGGCATGGGAACCCAGTCTAACACTATGACACATATTCCTTTGGTGTTTTATCTGAGTCGGAACCAATTTTCCCATGAATGCGTTAGATGTTCTCCGGGTAGGGCAATTCCACATTTTGTTTACATTCTTAATCTTCTCTCAAAAGTGAAAGCTCTTATTTAAAAGCCTTAAATCAGTTCTGGTTTGGTATCGTGGCTCTTTTGACTTTATTTGGTTTGACACTGCCTCGCTGACACGCTTCAAAGTTGTGGTTCAAAAATGACAATCAGCATTTTTCACTCTGGTGCACTGAGTACAACATGTTTTCGTCCAATTTTTTATTATTAGGCCACACTTTTTTATTTTTATGGATGACATCCTCTGGGGACCCCAAAGTCGGTGCGAGCGGGCGAAAAAAAAAAA